CACCCCCACCCCCACCCCATCCCCACCTTCCCAGCTCAGGTGAGAAAGGTGAGTCCTGGGTGATGCCGACTGAAGGGTGAGTGAAGCCTGTCAGGCAGGTGGGAGGAGCAGCTGTTCACAGGGCTCTGGCTTCTGATGCGTCTAATTTTTCAGAGGAGTTTCGAGTACACGTGTGGGGGAATCTTGCAAATCTTAGATTTACTCTTGGGGAAATGGTAGCATGGGGTGGGGCAGGTGGGAAATGAGCAGTTTATGGGGAAGCTATTCACCATCTTGGGCTGGGGCTTCGGTGGTGGTGACTTGGATGGGCCCAGGGGGCCAGAGCGATCTGGAAAAGACCCCAAGAATTGTGGGTCACTGGGTTCCTCCCATGTAGGTTCCCATTTTCCTCCCACCCCCACCTATCCTCTATTTCCTCCTCCCTCCCTCCCTGCCCTCCCAGCTCACTGGCATCCCGACAGCCCTGTCTCCATGGCAACTGAAAGCCGCCTACTTCCCTGCCCCCATCTGGCCCAGCGCAGGGAGCCGTGGGGGTGGGATGCCAGCGGGTTCTCCTGGCACCCCTACTCTTGCTGAGACATGCTGGGATCTCAGAGTAGGAACACCAGGCCCCAGGGACCAGGTTGGGCCTCCTGTTTTCCCACTGTTGCCTTGGTTACACTGCCCCTCCAGCCTCTTCTCCTCCCCCACTTCCTCCTTTCCTCCACCTCTCTCTCTCTCTCTCTCTCTCTCTCTCTCTCTCTCTCTCTCTCTCTCTCTCTCCAGCCAAAAGGCCTCAGTGACTGCCAGCTAAGGCCTCCCCTGGCTGCCCAGCACAGATGGAAGAAAGCCCTGGCCTGCACCCTGTACCCTTGTGGGGAACCCTCCTGCCCTGCCCAGCCACCCAACCTTTCTGCCTCTACTTCCCAGTCCTCACCCAGGTACAAAGAGTTCTCCTCGGTGCCAGGAAGGTGGGCAGGAGCTAGATTGAGGGGCAGAGCCTCACAGGGGGGCAGCTCATAATTATCTTCCTCTTCTTCCTCCTCCTCCTGGGCCTTTTGGACAGGGTAATGAGCACAGGGAGGATAGAAGAGGGGCAGGAGCAGTGGGGGCATCTGCCTCCCCCATGCCCCACCCCAGGCTCAGCAGCTGGACTTACCCTGCATCTCCAGGTCCCTGGGGTAGGCAGAGATGGGCAGGGGGCATCTGTTCTCCAAAATGGGGAGTCTTGATAGGAGACTGGTGAGACTGGCCTCATCTCCTCCCAGCCCACCCCCGCTCTAGCACAATGAGTTACTCTCTCTCCCCATATAATAAACCATCTGCACTTCTACAGTAGGTCTCAATGCTTCATTCAGCTCAAAGAAACCATTCATGATGGGCCCTTCCAACACTGCAGCAGGGCCAATGACAGAAGCATTTTGGAAACAAGGGCGCCTCCCAGCTAGCTGCCTGTTGCACCCATGCCAGTCCCCCACCCCACGTACCCCTAATTCTGAACATACAGGTGGGAGAGCTAGGTCCCAGTGACTTAGCAGTGCTGGACTGTGATGAACAAGAGGTGTCCAGAAGCATTGAGGGGAGACTTGACTCGCAGGGGACCCCTTATTGCTGGGCCCTTTTTGCCCATTGTGTCACTTACCTACACATCTGGGAGGTGGAAGGGGTGGTCCCAACCTGTCATCAGACTCTAATTAAGTATGCCCAAGGGACCTTTGACTTTGTGTCAGCCAGACACAGGAGTTGTGTGACAGCAGGCAGGGGCAGGGCAGCAGGGGAAGAGTCTGGGAGGCAAAGCTAGTACCCTTGGGCACACAGCTCAATGGTTGGTGCCCCAGGGAAGCCAGTAGTGGAGGAGCCCTAGTGCTCACAGGGGGGTTGAGGTATGTGAATGGTCTCATGGGGCATGCGGAGAGGGCACAGGCACAGACAGCACAGCTTCAAGGATGGCTGTGCCCAGGACAGGGGTGGTGAGGTGGAGACAGGAGAGGAAGGCAGAAGGAAAGAGAGGAGCCAGATACTCACCGGGTCTTGCCCCTCCTGAGCTTGTCCTGAAAAGAGTCAGGGAGGGGAATAAGGGGGTGGTCAGCACAGCTGGGATGTCGTTCCCTGCTCAGAGTCCTGGGCTCCCAGGAACAAGCAGGTCTGTGTACCTGGGGCTGTCCCCGAACCAAGTCTCACCATGGCCAAGGTGAAGGAGTTATGCCTCCGTGCAGCACAGCCACTGCTACAAATGGCCTGGGGACAGGGACCTTATTGTTCCTATTATTTGCATCCCACAAGCACCAGGAAGGTGGGCCTGCTGTGGCCTCTGACCCCAGACCAACTTCCTCCATGCCACTTCCTGGGCCCAGCCCCAGCTCCCCTCACAGGGCCTCCCACAGTTGTGGTCTCCAGCCCCTCTGCCCCACAGGAGGAAGAGCTCTCCCCTCCAGCCCAGGCCTGGACCAGGGTTCAAAGGCTTCCTGGCTTCCTTCAGCTCTCTGATCAATGTCCCCTCCTCCCAGAGGCTCAAACTTGCCTACAGATCAACCAGACCAAGCCCTTTCCCAATACATAGAAGACATGACATTAGTGGGCAGATCCAATTAAGAACAGGAAACTGCCCTTGCAGACTCTTCCCTTAAACCCTTTATGCCTGCTGTCATTTGCTGGTGAGTGGTGATCAATGTTAATGAAATGGAGGTTAGTGAAAAGCTCGGAGAGATGCATTCGAATTTAGTTTGATAGCTTCCTTTTTGATGATGAGTTTGTTCACTCAGGAGATAGTTACTAAACTCCCACTACTCCACATGCTGAAGATGCTGTAGGAAAACCAAACAGGGATCAAATATGTGGTGATGGAAGGTGACCTGACTCTGGGTGGTGAACACACAATGTGATATATAGATTATGTGTTACAGAATTGTACACCGGAAACCTATAACCATTGTCACCCCAATAAACTTTAAGTAAAAAAAAAAAACAAAAAAACACAAAAAACTAAACAGGCAGGCATTATAGGTGTATTTCCTCAATGGATTGTCGCAATAGCTGTGTGATGCAAGGACTAGTTTTATCCCTGCTTTTCAGATGAGGAAACTGAATGTATGAGTCAGCTCAGGCTGCTGTCACAGAATAACACAGACTGGATAGTTTAGAAAACAGAATTTTATTTTTCACTGTTCTGGAGGCTGGAAATCTAAGATCAAGGTACCATCAGGGTTGGTTTCTGGTGAGAGCTCTCTTCCTGGCTTGCAGTCAACTTCTTGCTGTGTCCTCACATGGCCTTTCTTCTGTGCGTGCGTGGAGAGAGACAGATGTCTGGTGTCACTCCCTCTTATAAGGACACCAGCCATACTGAATCAGGGTCTCATCCTTATGACCTCATTTAACCTTAATTACTCCCTAAAGGTTCTATCTCCAAACACAGTCACTTTGGGAGTTAGGGCTCCAACATATGAATTTTGTGGGAACACAGTTCAGTCCACTGCACTGAGATTCTGAGAAGTTGAGTGGCTCCCCCAAGGTCACCCAGTTAGTAAGTGTTGAAGGTGGAATTCAACTCAAGTTTGCCCAACCCAGAGCCTGTGCACTAACAACTGAGCCATCCTGTATCTCATCTAGGATTGGGTCCTGACTCAATTTTCCTATGATGGGCTTAGACACATCAGCACTCGCGGGCTTCCTTAAGGAGTCCATGATTTCCAGGTGGTCTGTTACCTGAGTGAATTTTGAAACTTTGACTTCTGAGAAGTGTCGGGGTAAAAAGATGGGTCAGGGCCTGGTGTCTAATTCTTGTTTAAACCAAGGAATGAGGAAACACAGACTACACTCATGAATGTAAAACCTTTCTAGGGCACCGTCACTTCCCTGTGTTTATTATTTTGGTGAGGTCCTGGCTGTGGCATAAAGGAGAAATGAAGGCCATGTGCTTGCATCTTTGGAGGCCATGGTGCTGGGGGCACTGGAGAGAGAGCACCAGGGTTGGAGGTGGCCACAGCCTTCAGAGGGGAAGATCAGATGATTCCTAGGACCTGCAGGCTAAAGGGCACTTAAGAAGCCATGAAGAGTCACTGGGGTAGCTTAACAGGGAGTCTATTTGGTTCAGTGGGGGAAAACTGAGAAAAGCAAAACAAAGAAACCATCCAGGCCTGGAGTCAGGGACATCTTCTCCCTGACCTCCACTCTCCAGCTGACCTTTGTTCTACATTTGGACCATAAGGCAGAGGGCAACTTCCCTAGCCCAAGGGGACCTCCTATGGGACCAGAATCAGCAGGTGAAAGTTAGCAGAAGGCTTTACATACCATCCCACTGCAAACCCAAAACTGAGTGGAGGCTCCTCAGCCCATACTGCCCTCTCCACAGCCACACCCTCTCTCTGTTCTGGGCTTTGCATAGGCAAATGCCAGAGCCTAAGTGAGTAAAAGGGCCCCAGGCAGAGTATGGAATCCATGTCACCTCGGTGGGGTCACTGGCCTGGGCAGATCAGGGGGAGAAGGGAAAAGAAGGAGGCCTCCCTCATGGCTTTGTCTCACCCCAGCCAGTCCTGCAGGACTCTGCTTCTTGTTAATTGCACAGGCAGATTTGGACAACCTCTTTCGCCATCTTTGGCACAGGATTGCTTTGTGTGCAACCATAGCTATTCCCTCGGGATGAATTCCTAGAAGGGGGAATTGCTGGAAACACGTATTGAAGGTTTCAGTGTCCTATTGTCTGGCAGTACATGAGCGCTTGTTTATGGTCCTCCCAAAGCATAGTGATTCTCCACATTTTTCAGATCTCAGATACTGATCTCTAATGAGAGCAGGCCATAATTTATAGGCCCAGGGCAGTCAAAGTCCACCCTAAGGAAACAAACAGCTCTCTAGAGCAGTATTTCCCCCATTCATATGATCATAAGAATCACTGGAGGGCTTGTTAAAAGTCTTAGATTCCCAGACCTTCCTGGGATCTTAAGAACCGGATGCTCCAAAAGAAAACCGAAAATCTATATTATTTTTTTTTTTTTTAAGATTTTTATTGGGGAATTGGGGGAAGGGAAACAGACAAGTTGCTGTCCTTTTGTTCTTCAGTCTAGTTGTGGAAGACGTTGCTTCACTGGCCCAAGTTGGCACCATCATTGCGCTCTTCCCAGGCGAGGCAGATCAGTCGCCGGCTTCTGGATGGCCGCTCACGCTGGCTGCTGGCTACACACTGCAGCCCATGGCAACCCACCTGCCATCACTGGCGTCTCACGGCAGCCCAGCTCCAGGTTGAGCTGTTGTTCAGCATTTTAGCTGTGGAGGGCAGTGTCACTGGCCCTCGTATGTGGGATCCGAACCGGGGCCCTCTGGCGTCCCAAGCCAGCTCTTAACCAACGCGCCACTCGGCTGGCCCTATATTATTTTTAATAAGCATCCTAGATCAAGCTTATGATCAGTCAAGTTTGAGAAATTGTTCTGTAGGAGTCTGAGAAGATGTGACTCCTAGGACACTTTTAGTATCACATAAAGCCTTTAGCTCATGGGGAACAAAGGGATCCCCAGCAGAGAAGGAATGTGACACAGACTCTGTTCTAAGGGGCCATTGTGAGTGACAGAAAGGGCAAACCCAAGGAGATGTTCAGTCTCTCTGGGCCTCCATTTCCTCTTGCATAAGTGAGGATATTGTTAAGGTATTCCTCCTGGCCTGGAGTGGGGCGGGTCTGAGGGTTGAATGAGAGAACCACACGTCAAACACAGGGCGTGCACAGTAAATATGAGCCCTTCCTGAGGTGGTGGTGTCATGGCTGACGTAGTTGTCAGCAGACAGAGAAGGCAGTGAAGCCCTGGTGTGAGTGCAGTAGGAAGCACTGTGAGGAAGGGCGTGGTTTCTGAGGACCAAAAGAATGACAAATAAGCAGGCTGTGGCCAGAGGTCTCAGAGGTAGGAGAGTGTGGCCCGTAGAGCAGTAGCTGCTGAGATGCAGGTGGCTGGTCACCTGGAGAATTGAAGGGAACATCAGCCATTTTTTCTGATTGTTGAGCACTTCCTACATTTGGGGCCATCTCCATCTTATGAATCTTGCTTTCATGCACAGAAGCTAGATGAGGCCTTCCAGCTCCCCTTGCAGCTGGCGTGCAAGCATTCTGCTAGTCAGATGTCCCCATGCTAGACTTCGTATCTAAAGCAGGCCCCAAGAGGAATCCACCCTGGGAGGGGTGACAGCTGTATCCTGTTTCCAAAGGCCGAGGAGGCTGAAACCCTAGTGGCACCACCCAGGGCCTCGGTCAGCAGTGTTGGAAAATGGTGGTGTCTGTGCTCAGAGCTGCCTCCATGAGGCCAGCTTGGCTGTGACCTTGGGGACATTGTTCCTGGCTGGTTCTCTGGCCCTCCTGGAAATGCTGTGAGCTACAGAATTCTTTCAATAAATTATTTCAGCCTAAACTAGCTAGGGTTGATTTCTCTTATTTTCAGTTAAGAGCGCTAATTTAAAGATGAAACTGCTGTATCACTGGCATCACTAACATGGACCCAAGAAGCTTAAACTGTGCAGCCAGGCATGTGTGTCTCCTGGGAATGTGAGACTGGGTAGAAATATGTCACAACTTTATATTTCTATACTCTTAAGACTTTTAAAAAAATGACAAACATTAACTATTTTTATAATTAAAAAAAAATCAGTCAATACAGATAGGATAAAAAGAGAGAAAAATAAGGAAGGAGGGGAAGGAAGGAGGGGTGACCTGGATTTCAAACATGAGGAAGCCCTGGGAGAAGAATGCACTGAGGGCAGGTGGGGCCCTGGCAGTGGAAGGTGAGGCCAAGGGGAGGGCCTGTGGATGTGGGGGGAAAGGGTGCTGAGAATACAAGGATTCTTCTCTCCCAGGGGAATAGGAATCCACAGGGGCAAGTGGAAGGAGTAGGGTAGAAAGACGGAAGGAAGAACTTTTTGAACATAAGGTCAGGGCCAAATGGATGGCATGAAACATGAGGAGATGGAGAGGGGAGACCTGAGAGTGAAGGAAGGGTTCCTGTGAGGGGTAAAGGAGAATGAGTCCTCAGGATATTTTTACCCAGGCAGATAGTCAAGGTCTAATTGAACTCTGTCTGTGACTGGGTTGGTTAATGTCGGGCAATCTTGAAGCAAGGTGGTTGGCAATAGGGAGAGAAGGGACCCTCCTGGGATGATAAATGAAGGAGAATGTTGGGGCTATAGCACCAGCTGGCTATACCTCTCTCTTTCCATGGCCCACTGCCCTCTCAGGACTGCTGAGTCAGCTTACTTTGGTGGCAGCTGTGATGGGCAATGG